ACAGATGGGCCAGGCAGCACCTCGTGTTACTGTGCACGTGGTCGCCAAGAGGTCACACCAGACAAAGGCCACTGCCAATGGCAACAGTCACCACGCCTGCTCTCCCCGCGAGCTGAGTGAGTCCACCTGCTCTGAGAAGCCGGGGATGGACGGCTGCCCTAGATGGAGGGTTGAGCCGGTCCAGGACCGGCCATCACTGGTTAAGATTGGGTTCCCTGCCTCGGCCCTCCCCTTCCCAGCCAGATCATTTGTGGGAAATCATGCCGCCCGTCTGAGCCTGGCTTCCCCTCCCCATGACGTCTGCTCTTACGACAAGAGAACCTGGTCCAGCGCCTTGAAGCTTGGACGGCGATGACGGCTGGGGCTGGGGTGGTGCACATGAGGGGCTCCTGCCCAGTGCTGTGGGGAAGGTCCAGGCTGCATGGCCAGGCCCAGCCCCTCTGGCACCCTCTGCGCTGGAGTCCTGCCCTCAGCCCCTGAGGTCGCTGCCATCTAGGGAGGCCCCACAGCCCTGCTACTGGGTGGCAGAGCTGGCACCTGGCCGCGCACAAAGGCTCCATCGGCTCCATCTGCCGGGAGTCACAGAGCCAGACCTAGGCCTGGCTATCTCCCATGGAGAGCTCTCTAGGCAAGAGGGAGATCCACTCCACTCACCTGCAGGTTGAGGGCCCGGGAGGAGAAGGCGGGGACACAGCAGGCCAGGATGGGGCACCAGAATGGGGCTTTGCTCTTCTTGTCTTCCTCAGGGCACAGCCAGCCCGGCTGGTTCTCCTCCCCTACAGCGAGAAGGAGGAGGGGTGCGGCCAGTCAGGCATGCACGGTGGACCCGGACTCGATGAAGCCCAGACAGACCGGGAGTCAGGGCAGCAGCATGCAACCTGGGGGAACCACCCTGGCCCGTGAGGCTGAATAAAAACCCAGTTGGGGTGCTGCTGCTCCGGGGGAGGGCCCGTGTGTATCACGGCAGGCCCGTGCTCCATGAGGCTTTCCAGGGGACAGTTTCCTGGGCGCAGGGGCCAGGACTTCGAGCTGCAGCGCCAGGGGATGCTCTCAAACGAGCCACTTTCTGTTAGTTCCGCATCGTCCAGAGGCCAGCGCTGCAAGACGCAGACAGACCCTCCTCTCCCCCTGCGGTCGTGGTGGGGATCAGTGAAACCGCGGATGGGAGACTGGCTCCAGACACCGACGACGACACGGAGCACACATCCGCTGGTGGGGCCCTGTCCTCGGCGGTGACCTCGAGTCCCCTGAGGTAACCCTCAAATCTAGAGAGCCATCTGACTCGGAGGTCCCCCAAGTCCCAACTTCAACAAACTCCAAACTCACTCGCAGACCCTGGAAGACGGGCTAGAGCCGCCCCCCAGGAGTTTCTGCAACTCTTTACGGGGAGTGGAAAGCCTGGTCTCTCTCCTGTGGGGAGGATGGTAGTTCAAACTGCCGACTTTGCGGTTCGTCGGCCAGTCATCACCACCTTGCACGACCACAGGTCCCCAGGGACGTGTTTAGCACGCGCATTAAAGTACTTAAGAATAAACCCATGCATCTACGGTCAACTGACTTTTAACATGGGGACTGAGTCCATTCAGTGGGGAAAGAAGCCTTTTAAATAAATGATGCCAGGAAATTGGATTTCCACATGCGGAAAAAAGAGTCAGGATCCTTGCCTCATACCAAACCTAAAAACAAATTCAAAATGGATTAAAGACCTAAACGTAGCCCTGAAACCATACAATTCTTAAAAGGGCAAGTAGGAGCAATGCTGTCAGGCCACGTTTTCAATAATGAAATTCCATAACAAAAACACAAAATAGATCAATGGGACTTCATATACGCTGTAAAGTTTTATGCATCAAAAGACTTTACGGAGGGGTGCGGGGTGGGGATGAAGAGTCAAGCCAGCAACTGGGGGAAATCTCTTCAGAAGCTGTTTACCCAACAAGAGCCACCAAGATGGCTAAGAGTTAAAGACGCAGAAGAAAGGTCTGGAAACAGCTGCAGGTCGGGGTGTGCGAAGACGGGAGTCCCACTGCCTGTAGGACTGCAAATAACAGAGTGGCCTTGGCTCAGAACACTAAACACAGAGCTACCTGTCACCTGACCCAGCAACTGCCGTCTCAGTCTACACCCGCTGTACC